TTTATGTCAGGTTACTGCTCATGGTAGGAGTGTTATAAACTTTTTAATTATAAAATCTCTCTTTTTGATATGATTTTAGATACCTATTCTGCAAGAAGAAATCTGACCGTCGCCACTGCCTTGACGGATTCAAAAAGCTTGTTTGACTTTTGACAACCTATGTCACCTATGACAAAGGCGAGATATCCGTCTAACAATTAAGTGACGAGTATACTGAGTGGCGGTTCATTCTGTTCTACTATACGGCTGCGAAACGTGGCCACTAAGGGTAGAAAGTACTCGTAAGCTACTAGTATCTGATGACAGAAATATTTTTCGCGTCTGCTGAGATCACCGGGTAAGTAATGGGGAAGTTAAACACAGGGTATTAGGTAACGATGGTAAATCATTCGATGAGATTAGAAATCTTCATCGACTGAGATGATTGGGACACGTTACGTATGCCTGAACATCGATTATGACAACGCGCAATTCTGACTAGTGTTGGGGATGGTTGGAAGAAAGTTAGGGGCGACTAAACAAAAACGTGGCATCAGTCCTTGAAGTCCTTAACTTCAAGTCTGAGCCATGTTGATAGATGTAGACTACCTGGTTGGGGTTCACGCGACTATCGTGACCAATAGTTGGAGACTCTTGGTGGCATGGCTCATAAGCGATCACTGTGGTGCAGATGTATACATTCCTTGTATTCCCTTAAATTTTGAAATGACTTTATACCTTGCTTTCTACGAAGTAATTACTTTGTCCTGTGCTATATCCTCATTCACAATCTTTTTTTATACATTACTACTGAAGTGAATACTTCTATGAATACAGTGTTGATCTTGTTGTGCTAATGAGGTTTGGCGACTTGAACCGATGCATAGACGTGCCTGATTCTATATTGTAGCTGATTGACGTTAAAAAGTACGTGTACATTTTCTTTTTGATAAAGTAACTGATAAGTATCTACTAAGCATTATAAACTTAGTCTTTCTGTATTCTATGACTGAGACCGAATTACAGTTCTATACATTAAACATAGAAGTAACAAGAAAGCCACTTATAACAGTAATTAAAATAGGCTTAAATTTAAGATAAGATTTTCAGTCATCATAACAAATAAATTTCCTTCCAATAGCTGAGATCATGAGTCAATTGAAGCTAAACCACCATGGAAAACATGGAAGCACAGAACATTTGATTCGTCTTATTGTGGGACTCCTCAGCAGTGTGTATCCATGATCCCACCTCACGAGATTCGAACCCAGAACATATCAGTCTTGCGTGCGAATGATTAACCTCCAAACCACTCAGCCGGTTAGCATCTAACGGTGTTAATATCTAACTTCAACTTATCCATGAAATAGAATGACACATACACCATTGTCTTCAATGAGTTATTATCTCACAACAGACCCGATTGAATTCCACTTTTCACTGCTATGGAAAAAAATGGAAGAACTGTATGCCTGTTTCATCCCAATTATGGGACTCCTCAGCAGTGTGTATCCATGATCCTACCTCGCGAGATTCGAACATAAAACCTATCGATTTCGCACATACGCACTTAACCTACTAGACCACTGAGCTGACTGACATTCAACAGTGTTAATGTTTAATTTCAACTAATCCAAGAGAATATATTCCATTAGTTCATATTATGTAATCGTTTTGTCGATTGTTTTTTTCTGTTTTAAATCTGTATATAAATTATATTGAAACTTATTTTTACAAAAAAACATGCAAATTTATGAGGATTTTTCATTCGACAATTTTCATTTTCTTCATTAATGAAATAAATTAATTAATATTTTAATAAATAATTTTTATTTATTTTTCCAAAAAAAAGTATAAAAAGAAATGAATGTTACCAATGAAAAATAAAAATAAATCATTTGTCCCATTGAATTCTTTAAATGGTTACTTTTAAATTCAATATTCAAGAATAGATTCATCAGATAGACATAATTTAGTTCATTTATCTAGTGCTTCCAGGCGTTTTTCATGTTGATCTATCTTGTATGTAGATACCATTGAATGTAGATACTTGATTTAAGGAAGTATTACCGTCTTAATGTACCATAATATCTACAAAAAACCTCTTCTAATATGAATCAACATATACTCACAAATGTCTGGCTTCAAGAGATATTTCCTGTAGTTCTAGTGAGAGGCAGTGACAAGTGGAGTTCAACCAGATCTGTTGTGAAACAGTAACTCATTGAAGACATGGATTAATTGGTTTAAGATATTAACACCATTGGATGCAAACTGGCTGAGTGGTCTCTAGGTTAAGCATTCGTGCACAATAATGATATGTCCTTGGTTCGAATCTCGTGAGGTGGGATCATGGATATACACTACTGAGGAGTCCCACACTAAAACAAAATGGTCATCCAGTGTTTCAATGTTTTCCATGGTGGTCTAGCTTCAATTGATTTATAATCTTAACTATTGAAATTACTTTAATATCCACAAAAATCCCTTTCTGATAATGTATAGAACTGATTTTGTCTTAAAATAGGGCCATTCTTCAATATGATTATTGTGCCTAAATTACTTGAAATATTAGAAATAAGTTTATTTATGAAAATTTATTTGATTTTCATTTTGTTTATAAAAGTAGTAGATGATTGTACAATAACTATTCACCCCATTGAGAATTGCAACAGCCTTAATCTAGAAATATACATAGTTTTTCGGAAAATATTATCTTGATTTGTTTTTTCTGTCATATTATTATTATTGTTATTATTGGCTTTATTGACCTAGTCACACCCTAATCATCTGAGCCACAAATTTTTGACTACTTTAAGACACTAGAAGTTACAGAGCTTGATAAAAACAACTTATTTTATTAGTGGTTATTTTATTTACATAATACATTCATTTAGCACATCGAGACTTACAGAATATATGTATATGCTATGTAGAGATGAATAAAGGTCATCTGTGGAGTCAAGGATGCGCGTTTTGTCCTGTTCGTGGCTCGTCCGTTGGATGTACCTGAATCGCAGAGTTGATGTTCACTCAGAGACTCGAACATAGTGCTGTTCAATTTAATCTTCATTGCGATATCCACTAAGCTACTTAGCCAGATTGACGCTAAGTTGTGCATTCTCTTGAACATCATCTATGGGATGCAAGCAAATTCAGCTGACGAGTTTAAAAATGAATGTAACGTGCATCCTAGATTCCAATGTTAGACAGAATCCATCCTTGTTTATAATCCTTGTGACTTAAGACAACATTGATGCGATGCACACAGTCTGTAAATGTAACAAAAAGAGACTGGTCAACTGAAGACCTAAACAACAATGTGAAGATTCAAATAACCAATATACATAAATCTGTATATGTTTCCCACAATATAAACATCCATACAATGTCAATAAATAATGGACAAGTTCAACTTTTGGTGAGATGTGACGACTGGTGGAGTTTAATAACATTCGATTTATTTGAAGATCGTCAATCACGTTAGATACTAGTATTGTGATCTGAACAAATTTGAAAATGTACATCATTTGATTTTCACTAAGCAGTTTGAAGGTAACTCGTTGATTGAGACAGCCAAAGTTTCTGAGTTCTATTCTTTTAGTGATCAGCAAATGTACACTGTTCTCTAATTCTAAAGAGTAACATATTCCTTTCAGATAAAACAGAAAGCTATCAAAAACAGACGTTTAGTAAAACTTTTATTACAAACCTTTTATTTCTAAAGAGGAAATCTGTTAGTTTGTAATATCAGAATTCTAATCATATACAGGTGTCCAACGGAAATTCCCTGCTATCCAGCAAGATTTAATATATTGGCCATAATATAAACTTGATTTATGAAGTTCACTGGGCAGTTTCATCTAAGCAGCATGATATCATTCATTACTCAGTAACTGATTGACGTAAGTACGTTAGTTTCTCAGGAAGTCAGTTACAGTTTTAAGACATAACTGGAACATTTTATGCTCCTACACTAAGTAACAACTGCTTAATTATTAAATGAAACGTCAATTTACTGATCTTCTCAAGACTGATAACCAGGACTGGATATCAAATATTCTGTCGATGATCTTTAAATAGCTTTTAATTTTGTATGCCAAATCTATGACATTGTTTTGAGATTCATTATAAAAACTATTAGAAATCACGTTTTTTTCTAATAAAATAACTTGAAAATAAAAGAGTGATCAACTCGTTTAGAAATTCGAAGTAAAGAAAGTGCTCTCTATCGGATGAGATAACTTATTTTCTGCGATTACGCTCAGTATACACAGAGATCACAAGGAACTACTCAAATCAACATACAAAAATATCGAGACTTTTCAGTTCGTTAGTCAACATCAGAAGAATAAAAGAAAACTAACCTATTCCCGTCAAGTGATCAATTATGAAACATTCTTGCTTATCGACATGATCACTAAAATATGATTCACTTCTAAATACTTGTTTAATTCAATAACTGTTACCTTAGAGTTAATATTCCACTATATCCTGAATTATTTCGTCTATAAAACTAGTAAACAAATGTTAGTATTATAACATTTTGGCTCGTGAATGAGAAAGTTATTAAGATACCGATTATAAACAGTTTTATGGTATGCTAACTTGAAATATGACCCAGTCACCTACATTTAACCCTTGGTTGAAATATACAGTGAGAGTTGATATCTTTCATACTCCTCAAAGTGTTCTTTATCGAATCTAGATAGACAAGGACCTAAGCTATTTCCGATGAGATTCAATCATGAATATAAAAGCTTGATAGTGCCATAAGCATGCGTTGCACTGTGAAGACATTGATCAATGAATAAATTTTGAGCGGCTTTAATTTTTCTCCAATAATTTGTATCGTCGAATACATTTGTGAATAGTTTTATTTAGAAAGATGTACCGACAAAAATAGGACGTAACAGTCGAAATGTACGATTAAAAAAAATTCAAAAGACAGAAATGATTGAAAGATGACTATATTTTATGTTCACACACTTTCATAGAAAACACAAATTAAAGCCGGAAAT